CCCACTCCTCTCATTGCCCGTGAGCAGAAGCGAGAGTTGGGTCAATAAACGTAACACTTGCTCTCATTACTCTCAAACAAATTCAAACAAAAGTAACGTTTTTTTCCTTTTAGGTCATTTTGAGGTTTTTTGTTTTTTGGTGTGTTTTTTTTTATTTTTTTTTATTTAAATCATCAAACAAGAAACCTCATTGGATCCCACCTCGAGTGCAGTAGCCTATTCACAGTTTGCTATCGTTTTATTGAGCCTATATGGCCGTGATGTTGACACTTTGCTTTGTGTCAGCGAACGTCGGTTTTCGGTCTAAAGGCTAGTTGTGAAGTGTTGACTGTTTAAATACTTGGTGTGTGTGTGTGTGTGTGTGTGTGTGTGTGTGTGTGTGTGTGTGTGTGTGAGGATACATGTGTGTACATATATGTGTGTGAATATAGTTATGCACTTGTGCGTGTGCGCGTGAATACATTCGTGTGTAGTGTATTCATTTAAGGGAGAGGGACAGACTGACAAAGATGGATAAAAACGGTAACAAAGGTAAACAGGCATTCAGACAGACATACATGTTGAAAACGGGAAAAGAGGCAAGGGCAGCATATTATAAAACGTTAATTGAATTGTCCATTGACCATTATAATTTGTCCGGTTCGTATGAATCGGGGCTACGGCCTTGGCACGGTAGTTTTTGACGAGAAAGGCTAACGCAGGTGTTGAATGAACATAATAGTATAATAGTGACAAAGACAGGTACTTCAACAGTACGGAAAATGGAATGTTTACGGACAAGACACACAAAACTTCTGGGAAATAGGATTTTAAGGGATTTTTTCTCCCGTGGGTAGGGAGCATGTGGTTGATAGGTTGATGAGATGAGAATAGAGGCAAAGACAGCCAGATGTAAGTGCACAGTATGGGGACGGCAGTGGGGAGGGGTAGACACAGACAGATCAATGCCTCAAAATTAAACATTTCTATCTGAAATATTTGGCCGTTTTAAGTTACTAAGGCCATGAGGTCAGAAAGCAAAATTAATGCTCTATCTGCTCTGTCAAAATGGTAACAATATTCCGAGTCGTTATCAAGATAATCAAAGAACTACCTTCGAAGCAACTAGACATAATAATGTTATAGCGAAATTTACAAAAATGGACGTCAAATTTCTTAAAACTAGGCGTTGGGCGGACAGAGCTTCGTAATTCTGAGGAAGCGAGATATCTAGATAAAGAGTGAAATTGTGTTGCCGTTGCGTTTGGATTGAAGGCATTTCAGACTACTTAGGGTCACATGTCAACATTTCAACACGGAAAGATAAAAGGGGGATTATGATAGTGGTGGGTTTGTTTGTTTTGGGTTGTTTGTTTTGTTTGTTTGTTTGTTTGTTGTTGTTGTTTTGTGTTGGGTTTTTTTTTTTGGGGGGGGGTAATTTGGGTTGGTTGTTTTAAGAGTTTATCTGGGATTGGATCCCCTCTAAACAAAAGTATCGTATTTCAGAACTTCAGAAGCGTCTTGTAGAAAAGGAAGAATCGAAGAGAGAGAGCGGGTGGGGGGGGGGAGAGAAAACATTGTTAATATTATATAAGGAAGAGTGGATAGCAGGGGAAGAGGGTGGTAATTATAAAAATCTGGATTGCTTACCAGTGCACGATCCTCCCTCCCAAAAAAATCCCTGCTTTCCCAAGCCTCAATTATTTCCTATAGTACCATCATGCCGTCTTGATATGATACGACTTGAGAGCAACGTGTTACTAAGTTCACTGACATTTTCTTTTTTTCCACAATAAGTCCAATGTCCCTAGCCCTGTAAAACTCGCTCAAGTGTTTGTGAAAAAGACAGGCCTAAGATGCGAGGTCAGAGTGACATTTCTAAATAAATTCTATTCACAAAAAGAGATAGAATTCCTTCTTTTCGACAGAGACGAACAAACGAATGTGACCCTTGAGACAGAGTGGGGTCAGTTTTGTATAAAGGCTGCGGAGACGGTCATTTCATGGTCGGCTGCGTTCGGAACCTGGGATGTCTTCAGTCGCCCGCCACGAGGTCTTGTATGCCGACAGCTGACCGCTCAGTGACCGCAACAGGAGAAAAGTGATTGTGCGCGTGTCCATTTGTACATGTCTACATTTCTGGATGAATATGTACGCATTCTTTTGGGACGCATTCTGTCTCGCTCTTTCATGACCGTGCTCTGATAAAGCGATGCTATGATGGCACATGTTAAAAGCACCAATTGACAATGCTCAAAACATGAAGGTGTCCGGTTTGTTCGACATTCCTGTCGGGTTCCCTTATGGAATGCCTCACCTACAAGTATTTTATTTTACAGCTTTATAATAACTTCAACTACAGGTCAGTTTGCTCAAGATCATACTTGGTGTCTTTTTGTGTGTGTGTGAAGCTTATCTTTCTGTTGTATATACGAACGCCTAAATCATTTGATTTCGTTTGTGATTTGAGGAGGCTTTACTTGATTAGTCTTGTACTGTTGGAAAGCTGCTGTATCGTGATATTTCACCCCGAGTAATTTTCGAGATCTTAAATTTCTAAAATGTATATGGTCATGTCCCATTGAACAAACTACGTTCTCTGAGTGGGATAAAGACTATGTTTGCAACATACAGTAAGCCTCTGAAAAGTGACAGCTGAGGGTGCTCTCTCTCTCTGAGGGTCAGAATGTTAAAAGAAATGCTCAGCAATGCTATCAGTACCCTCTACTTTATAAAGCTGGGAAAAACAAGGGACGAGTGCAGACCCCAACTCCTTCGTCTTCTTCCTTTATTTTTTTTACCCAACCATATTGTTATGTGCTAGTTTGACGAGTTGTTCAGGGTACTCTTAAATTAGTTTTTTTTTAAACAAGTATGTGAATTTATATCTATGAATACAAACTCTTCTGGAAACGTGTTACTGAAAGAAAATTGATGTTGAGATGGGCAAAATTTGAAATTTTGACAATTTATTAATGATATGACCAAGCAGCTGAACTAATGCTTATAAGGTTGTTGTGCTTTTAACACAACTGCTTCAAATATCCTTTGGCTTTGTGTACTTTCACTTGGCTCAAAGAGTTTGTTTTACTTTTAAAAAGGGGGTAATATTGCCATTTGAAGATATTTTAACATTTCATTTTCTCTCTCACTCTTCTCTTTCTCTCTCTCTCTCTCTCTCTCTCTCTCTC